CAGCGCTGCTGTAAAGATACGAGTGCATTACTACCACACTGTAAACACACGAATGTTGGTATGACTGGTAACATTAAAAGGCATTTCTGGGGGCTTCCATCAGGGCAAGACCATTGCAAGTCTTGCCAAATCCCTATAGCAATGGGACAGCCACACTTGAACAACCCTCAGGTGATATTTTCCATGAAATTAGGTGACAAGGCTTTACTCAGGAGCCATGTAGGACCCAAGGGCCACTCTCCGCAGCACCTGCTCTCAGCCCGGGAGGGTGAGCAGCCAGGGAGGAGCCCAGGGCAGAGGGGGCAGAGGTCTGAAGGGCGGTGAGCGCTGCACGCACGCAACAAACACAACAAACACAACGACAAAACTCAGGAGCCAGCCTGACGTGCAGCGCTGGCTGATTTTCAGGGCATAACCACATCCGCCACAGTTAATGTCACTGACTTCAGATTTGGGTATGTGTCTGGGTACCATTTGTTTCTCTTACAGAATAGGAGCCCATCATGCCGGCTGCTCTGTAATTTGCTCTTTTCCTCAACAATCTATAGTGGCCATTTTCCCGTGTTACTAAATATTTCTCTACTACCGGCCTATATATCCAGAATAAAGGTTATTTCACTGGGGAGAAGGCCTTTCTTACAAAGAAAGACTTGTCTGTCCAGGTTCAGGCCCGCTGGGGTGGGCGCCCAGCCTGCAGGGTGCTGCAGACCCGCCAGACCCAACAATACCGAGGCAGGCAGGCCGCCTGGGAAGGGCTTGGCATCAGCCTGCAGAGGGCTCTCGCCGCTGGGAGCGGAAATCCGGGGCACCTGCATTTGCCAGGAGGCCTGGCTGCTCTCACCCCCCACCTCCCTTTCAGATACTAGCCTCCCCCTTCCAGAAAGTGGAGTTTGTCCACTTGGCTTCAATTCCGCGTGTGAGGCGGGTAGCAAGGGAAGGGGACCCCACAGACCTCAGGTACCTGCAGAGGGCTGGGAGAGTCTGAGCTAGACCCATCCTTTCTCCTTCTGGAAAGAAAAGATTAATTGAATGCTGCCTCGCCACCTAGGTGGGCTTTGCAAAAACCCATAGCTGCACTTCGCACCGTGCTTGGGAAAGGCAAGGGAGGGCTCCCTGAGGATCGCAGAGTCAGCCTCAGCAGTTACAGCACCACGCTGCAGGCCCCGGAAGCCTCCAGCCACGCAGTCTCCTCAGGTTGCAGAGTGCCACCTGCCACCACACCCGCCGTCCCTTGAGTGCCCCCTGCATGAGCTGGGGCCCGCCTGCCCTGCATGGGGTCTTCAAGGTGGTTTCAGCACAAGAGAACCTTTTCCACTCGTCACAGCTGGATTCCGATTTTAAAACATAAAGCCTCATTGTCCCAAAGTCACCAGGCCTGTCTGACCACTTTGGCAACGCCTCTATGCTCTGCAGGACTCGAAGCCAGCCAGCCAGCCAGCCGTGTCGCCCTGGGTAGTGAGACTCGATCTTATGAATGCAGGGAGCTCCCCTGCCACCCTCTCTAAAGGCCAACCTGGGTCAGTTTACTAGAGGGACAGAGAGCGGCGCTGGACAAGAGAGGTTCGGCTTACCCAGCGTGTTCAAACTTGACTTGCAGAACAGCCAACGCTCTGAGAGAGGGTGAGGGACGATCAACCTGAAAAATAAAATATTGTGGTTAATAGTTGTAAATAAGTGTGTTATCGACAAAGACTGTCCTTTGACCGGCCTTTAATCGGCTCCTCTAGGCCCCCACCATGGGCTTCTCTCTCTGTGCCTGGAGAATCCAGTTTGAGCAAGAATCCTGTTAAATCCATTTAGCAGAAATCCCCCACCTTTGGTATCTGGCCACCCTGGGCTGCCTTCCACAAGAACTCTGAAGTGGGTCTTGCAAGAATGCCCTTCACCCCTGACAGTTCCCCTTGGCAATGTTCCCTCCACTGACCACCACCCCGCTCCTTGCTGTTGATCCCCCTTATCTTGCTAAGTCTGCCCCCCCTACAAACCCCAAAGCGGTTGTCCCTCTTGAATAAAGGTGGACTCACTTTCTTATTGAACCAGTGTGTTGAATAGTTTTCTGACAGCATCTGTGTGTATGGTGTGGTATGAAAGGTCCATCATGTGATGATTACCTGTTTGTATAAAATACATTTATGAACCACTATTTACTCTTTTCTTCCATGTCAGGCTCTCACACTGGTTCCCAAGGTCATCTTTGGGAACATAAGTAATGCTGGTTTTGAGTGTGTGCTTGCTGAGGTTTGTAGGAGTGAGTGTCTGTCAGTTGGTAGAAGTTGTCTTGCTGACTTTATCCTTACAGATGATTCCTTATAAGCTTTATTTTTCAAAGCGGAAGCTTTAAATGTGTGAGCACAGGCAAACACATCGCTCGGTTCATATGGAGTTGGGTGGAAGGTGCTGGGTCTCCTTCAGAGGCGACAGCTACTCCCAAAAGTCAGAAAGTCATCCCAGCAGCCTAACGTTCCTGTCCTCCAGCTTGTTGTTTTACAAGATGGTTTCACAGATCAGGGGAAAACATGAGAACGAGTAAACCGAAACCAAACCAAAGCCCTTCTTACAACATGAGAGACAGAGAAGGCACCAACTCAAAACTCTGAAAATTATGAATGAAAAGAAAGAGTTCAGTTATCAAAAACTCTCTTTCCTATAGGAACTATATTTTAGGGTAATTAAATAGACCCAGTATATGAGGAAATTCCCTAGTAAATGAGGAAGAAAAGCTTCCATTCAGAGTGATTCCAGCCAATAAATGCAACGATAGCATTTAAAACGTTCATTTTGCAACTTCTAATTAAGTTACTGATTCAGACAATTTCCACTGATGGACGTTTAGCTGCACCTTGTAACAAAGGGATTAGTCTGTCATCCTCTAAATCCATTGGTCAATTATAGCATGACTTCAAAAGTGAGGTAACCAGATGAGTGGCAGTTAGATGTGTAGCATATCACCTAGGAGACGTTCCTACCAAAAAAAAAAGTAGGCGAGCCAGCCAGAAAGGCAGGAAAGGACTCCTGCAAGATTTGGACTTTAACTCCCAGCCCCTGGGAAACACAGGGGAGAGAAAAACAAGGTAAATACCACCTGGGGGTGCAATCAGCCGACACCAGGATGTGGAATATTCTACAAAACAACTGACCCCATTTCTTCAACACATCAATGACAAGGAATAAAAAAGGGTAAAGGGACTGTTCTACCTTAAAGGGAACTTTTTACAGACTTAAGAGACGTGATTAAATATAATGATAGACCTTGTTTGGCTACAGATTTAAACACACCGTCAAAAGCCTGCCTAGCGTACGAGGGAAAACTGAATCACAGTGTCGTGGCCAATTTAAAGCATTACTGGTAATTCTTTAGATGTAGTCACGCATTGTGGTCATGTTTTTTTTTTATGGGTAAAATTACATAACAGAATAGACGGTAGATGGCAAAGTATTATTGGCTACAGACGCTGAGTACAAGTATGGAAATGTGTTAAGAGTCCCTACTTCTGTGTATGGAAATTTTCACAGTAAAAAAATAAAGTGAAGCAAAGAAGGGCAGTCAGGAGTAGAGACAGCACTGTAAATGTACCTTGAACTGGTGGCCACTCACACTTCTGTAAAAACGAGCCAGCATAGAGCTCCTCCCATCCTGATTCGGTGTTTCATCTGGAATACAGGGCTCACTTTTTCCCTGTTAAATTTACATTTGAGGTTCAGTCCATTGCCGAGACAATGATTATCGTCACCAAGATCAAACATTTTTCAAACTGCAGTTCTTTGGTCTGATGAGCATTATAGAGCTAAAAAGAAGACAAGCTTCATCCGAAACTTGAATTCTGACAGGCAGAGAGAGCCCTGCTCTCCCTGAAGCAGAGGTGGTGACAGCAGCCAGCTTGCGGGGTTTCAGTTCCAAGTGAGTTTCACGCCCCGCGCCATTGCCTTATCACTGAATATGAATTTCTGGGGTAGGAACAACCATGTGACCTTTACCGAACCACAGACATGTCTGTGTACACTAAAAGCACTTGGGCACGCCACAGCGCTGGTGCGAGTGAACTCCAGCCAGCGCACATCCATTGCTGGGATTTGTTTTACACACCTGGTATGTCCGAAATGCATCCCCATACGAGACAGAGTAATCTTACTGTGAATATGGCAACGCCGGTGTCACTCCTGGAGGAGGCCCTGGCCTCACCGCTGCCCTGTAGCCACCTAATGGTTCCTTTCTGCCTCAGATCTCCTACTACTTGTTTATCATGGAAAATCTCAAACACATCCCAAGAGTAAAGTGAAATGAGCCCCCGGCACCCTTTACTCCCTGTAACAATTATCAACATTTTTCAAACTTTGTTTCATCCCTTTCTCTCTGACCTGACTTGTTGCTTTGGTTTGGTTTGGATTTCTGGAGCATTTTAAAGCGAATCCCAGACAGCCCATCAGCACACAAGTCTTGTGTCCACTTAATACACTGCAGTGGGATTTGTCCACATGGCTGTTTCTCCTACTGGACCCCTGGTCTTCAGGGGCAGGGGCTCCTTCATGGCTTCCACAAGCAGCGCAGCAACGGCCCGTGGTAGGTGCTCCGTCAGTACTTGGAATTCAACACTTGTTTAAGGGCAACAGATTTACTGCCATAGACTCAAGAATAGGCGTCAACTCACAGAATGCATAATGCCTTGGTCATCAAATCGTATTTAGCCAAGGACTCACTTGTTCAGGACCAAATGCTGACCGCACAAGAATGGTGTGTGTGGTTGCCTTGGTCTGAGTTCCAGCTCTCCCACCACTCGCTGTCTCACTGGGTCTGACGGACTGCATTTCCTACAACAGCTGCGATAAAATCTGTCCCACGTGCCCAAGGCTCCCCGAAGGCTGGCAGAGCCAGGTCCAGAACACAAGGTCTCCCAATTTCTGTCCCACGCTCTCTACTCCACTTCACGCCACAGCTCCTAGTAAAAGCTGCTTCATGGAGCCGAGATCAAACAAGCTCAAAATAAGTAAACAATACATAGAAGCATATTTGAAAGAGAACATATTTATTTACATCACTATTTCCTTTTTACAACTCCTGTACTTTTAAATAATAAAATTTTCCAGGAAATCAGGTATCTTTAAATTAAGATATGTTAACAAAAAAACCCACTTTTTAACAATGTGATTTTTATTTACATGAATTTTCAGGAGTTTTAAATAGTTCTTTTGAAACTGTGCAACATAACCAAAAGCACTTATTTAGACTTGTTTCTTCTTCAAAAACTTTTAGTTAGGAAATTATGCTGATACTCGGATTCTTGCAGTTCAGATCCTTACAGATGAAGATCTTGCTAACACACACTTACAAATACAAACGTGCTTCAGAAATGATCCTCCTCTTGGCTGTGAGTTCAGTCCATCTGATGTTTTGATGGTAAAGAAAGATTTTTTAGGTAACTTACAAACCTTTCTGGAACTTTTCTGTATAACTTGTGATGTATTCTGAGCACATGCTGAATTTATGAGGACGATTTATCTTCAGCTCAGTGAACTCTGAAAGAGACTCACAGGGATCCAGAACCTTCCCGGGGAAGATATTGGTGCATTTTCCCCTCCCTGTCCAGTCATATTTGGGATGCCTAATTTTCCTCTGATATTGCACATGCAAATCACTTATTTTTAAAAGAATTCACTATTCATAAAATGACTTTCAACAGTAACAATGGTCTGACATCCTTTCATGTCACACTGATTTTAAATTTTATTAGTGAAACTATAAGAGAGGATAGATTTTCCTAATACTTTAAGCATGAATTCCTCTGAAGAGATGGTATAACATCCATTAAAAAATAGAAAAGATTAACTTTTACCATGATCAAAAGTACAGTTCACAATGAAAAACTTATACAGCTCTGTCCAACTTCTCCCTACGCATAGCCAAGAGCCAGTCGGTCTTGAACATCACGCGGCGGCGATCGAGGCATCATCCGTGAGTCGACCCTGTGGCTTTAAAGTGGGAAAACAAAATGGGTTTGCAAAATGATGACGACAACAAATGCTCTAGCAATAGAAAAGATTTTTTACGTTCTCAGAAAACTGTTTCACAAAGACAGAATAAACATGTGTAAGGGTCCAAATAAAACTTGTTCTTCTCCCTCTTCCCGCCGGCCTTCTTTCCTCTCTGGAGCCGGGGATGGCACGTCCCTGATGCCGGGGGCGGACAGCACCAGCTGATCATGACCTCTTCCTGCCGAGTCCACCCACTCCCAACCTTGGTTCTAGCAGCCGTGGCCACTCCGTCACTGCGGCAGGTGACAGGAGCCGATCTGCCATTCCTGCTTCAGTGATACGGTTTGATTCTCTCCCTCTTGCTCAGGGCCACAGACCTGAGCTGACAGAATAGTCCCTTGGGGATTCAAGGTCTCCCAACCTCTTGTTCAAGAAAAAGCCATTCACAATGAACTCTACGGTATCCAGAAATAGAAGCAGTGGATAAACACAGAAAAATTTCCCTTTCTCTAAGGTCACTGATTGAAAAAAAATACACATCAAAAGAATAAAGGCTAAAAATGAATGAAGGGTATCAGAAATGTCTTTAGATGGAAAATTTCTGACAGGTTAGCAATGCCCCAGAGAGTCATCAATAATTAAAAATATGAAATTCTTGCAAACAATTTTATCTCATTATACAGATGGACATTAGTAGGGCTTTGAGGAAAAAGCATGAGCGATGGTATTTGGATATGAAACAGAATAGCAGTGTTATGACCTCACCACAGAGGGCCATCTGCCTCCCGCAGGGGGCCTGGGGCAGCAAACGCAACCCAAGCAGTGGTGCAGCTGTGAGGTGGCTTTGCCACGCGTGAGCACATGTACGGTAGGACTCCGACATCAAGGCGGGGACGGACTGAACAAGTGCACAGGTGACTGGTCTTTTACACTTCATGTAAATTTTAGTATTGACGCAGGATGTGCAGTTTCAGAGAAAGATAATGGCTCAACCTGGTTAAATTCTTACCAAGCACAGCTTTACAAACAGGGGTGGAAGACAAGTGCATCAGGCAATCAGAAAGCTCAGGCCTATTTTTCAAAGGAAGGACAGCAGGGCTCCAACCTTGCTCCAGGGCCGCAGTGCCCAGTAAGCCTCCTGCAACGGTGCAAATGCTCTCGGTGCTGCTCACGTGGCAGCCGCTGGTCGTGCACAGCTATGAGCACCTGACCTGTGGCTAGTGCAACTAACTTCTTGATTAAATTCGACTTTAATTAATTTTAATTTAAATCTCAATAGGGACATGTGGCTAGTGGCTGCCACACTGGAATAGCACAGCTCCAAAATTTAATAAAGGTGAGATGGGATATAAAACTTTAGCCAGTAATTATTTACTAAGTAGGAAAAGGGTAACCTCATTTACTGCCCCTAGTGTGACAAGGAAAACAATTTTCACAGCAAGTTTCCCTGACTGATAAAGGATCAGTTGGCTGAGGATTCCAGCCAATTTTTGGCAATAGTCAGGGAAGCAAAAGGGAGTATTTGTATTTACAGAAATGATAGCGGTTTAAAATAGGGCATGTTAGTTATGTTTAAACTTACTAATGTTTATTTTTCCAGAAACTTTTCTTATAAATTTAAACACTACCCGGAAGAGGTTTACTGTGACGGAAACTCAGAAGACTGAATTAGCATTGCCTATGGTTAGGTTTGAACTATCGCCTATGGTTAGAACTGAGCCCTCCAGGGAAAGGAATGAAAGAGCTAATAAATTAATGGAACCCAAATCCTGATTTTGCAATACGATCAACTTTCATATCTCAAACCAGCTGTTTGTGCAGCTAGACTGTGATCAGGTCTGCACACCGACACATCCTTTCACTGATGAAAGCCACCTTTCTGAGTTAGGAACAGCAGGCTTCAGAACAGGCCATCAGAGATCACCCCCCGGCGGCACCCCCAGCCCCTTCATAAGGCTTTTCTCCTGCAGGGTGAGCTCAGGCACAACGGTGAGGAGCGGTAATGGAAACGGTTTCAGAACGTGATCAGGTGGAGATGTCTAAAACACCGCGGTTGGGCGGCGGCAGGGGAATATGAGAAATACTGGACCTTCCTCTCCACTTTTTTTTCTTTCCTTCCTCTCAGTTTTGCTGTGAACATTAAAATCTCTATAAAAAAATAAAGTCTTAAAAAAAACAACACTGTTTAAACACAAGGATATTTAAATTATGCGATTTTCCTTTACAATTAAAAGTATGGTGTAGAATAGGAGTTTGGAAAGGTTAATAAAATGATTTTTTTGCAGATGCAAAAAAGCCATGTAAGTCAGGGAATATAAAAGCTGGGAAGATTATGAAAGGTACATCACCACAGACTAATTCTAAGATGAACCAAATCTCAGACTTTGTAAAGGGACTATTCCCCAAAACCTGACACACAAAAACGTAAATAGTGAGCAATGTAATTTGTCAGACCAAAAGTAGGTATCAGCTTAAAAGAGGGCACCCACGATTCACATGTACCCATGCGCAGCTGAGATCCTGGGAGAAACCAGAACTCTCCGAAAAGAAGCCTTAATTTCAGGAACCAAGAATGGCTTCACTGGAAGCGACTGCTGAGCTAAATTAACTGCCTACGCGGCCAATATGTTCCTTCACACTGACCAGGGACTTGCTACATATTCTTTTATTGCAGGAACCTGGAAACTGTATTGTAAAAAAATCAAAACATTAAAACAGTGTACAGTTTCCATCAGATGATCATTTTCCGCAAAGACCCAAGTCCGGTACTATACAGATATCAGGCAAGATCTGGGGTCATATTTAGTAAATTAATCTATTTTGATTAAAAATAACTTCAATTTAAAAACATATTTACCAAGCTAAAGAAAACACATGTTCAAAGATAAGGATAAATATTTACTTAATGGAATAAAAATCTTTGAAATTAGATTCTACAAAATACTAACTTTACAAAATAATAAGTAGCAATATTACCAAATTAATACAGTAAAAGCTAAAACATATCAGTTAGTCTCAAAATACTATTTAATGAAACTTACATGAAAAAACACCTTTGATTTATTTTTAAGAGAGGAAAATTAAAAAGCAGAAAAATCTTACCTTTACAAAAATACAGGTAGGTATAAAACGCCTGAGCAGTTGATTTGTGAAGTTGGGAAATCTAAGTAAGTTGATGTTGAGAGATGGCAGCTGCTGGTATCCGGCCATTAGAGGATAAAAATTATATAACATTTCCTGTTCAGTGCCAGGTAAGATGCGTAATCGAATCTAAATCATAAAGAGTTGTAGAGAAAAATAATCAAATACACATGCTTGCAATATCTAATTACCCCTGGATAATTTATAAATGACTAGACACCCAAATCTTTCTGGTGAAATATTCTCTCTCTCTCCTATTCCATCTTTCAGATTCCAAAATCAGGGCTGAATTAGTATGAGACTAGGGCCACACAGATAATAAATGTATAAAAAATATATGCATGATTTCTCTGCTTCTACCAAGATTGAAAAGGCCACTTGTACCTCCTTAAAGATAAGAATACTAGATGGATCAGTGTTTTCTGTGCCTTAGACCACATAGATTCTACAGCCACAATGTTACGGGATCATGTGCAGAGAAGTACCTTGGTCAACAATATGTCATCATAAGACAAAATCGTTATTTCTGGTGTTTGGTAAGGTAAGTGACTTCAGGAGAAAAAAGGTTTTTGGAAGTTTTTAACAATACTTTAGAAAACACAAACTGGTAAGATTTTGGTATCTTATCTAATTCTTTCTAATACATGAAAAAGATCAGGACACTCAAAAGCTTACTCATTTGTAAATGAGTACAGATAACACATACAGGATGTGTCAAAGATACATGTGTGTACCAACATACTATAGCTAATATTGTATTAATATTATAAATTTAAACCAGTGTGTGGGCTTAACATTATACCTCACATGCACACGGTTCCATTTCGCATTTAACAACAAACAGAGCGCTCAGAACACACCAGCACAGATGGTTCGTCGGGGGAGACACTTCCAGGTGTCAGAACACATTCGTCCCTCTACTTGTGTCCTTGTTAATAAAGAGTACTTCCTGACTGCTGAGGGGCGTCTGTCACTTGGAGGACAGCACGCCCACTCCAACATGGTTTACCCGAGTGCATGTGCCACTCAAAAACCTGTTGAACTTTTCCACCCGATTTGAACAGATGAATCAAAACACCTGAATAATTTATTTTTATGTGTAGACATAAAACTGTGTCTAAACATATCAAAGATAAGTAAAATCCATGAAAGATCAAAATCTCAAAAATTTCACTAACAGTTCAGAACAGAATTGCTTTTAATGGGTAGTCAGGCCTCAAATTGTAACACACACACACACACACACACACACACACACACTCATTAGTAATAAAAGGGAAATGTAAAATTTTCAGGATTCTATTAAGAGTCCAAGGATTTGTGATCTCTTATTTTATATATGATCTCGATGTGAAAAGAGCTGCCTGCTTAATCCACCTTTACAGAGTTGGACTTAATTTTTTAGGATAACTAAAAATTCACTACTATCAAAAAACAAGAACCACACAAAACTAAACTGTACAGCTCTCTATTACCTAGGCATGCTTTTATGTCTACAAGAGACCCAGTGAGGGGAGACTGTACCTGTTTGAGACCTGAGAACATGAAGGCGTCACTAGGATCCACAGAAATCTCCACGTCCTGCACTAAGTCAGTCTTATTGTGCAGGTGGTACTTGACAGGCAGCGATTCTCTGACACGCCCAAATGACGGCAGATCTGGGAAGATGACACATTTCTCTTGGTTTAAAAAAAAAAATAGCTCACAACTAATGGGTTCTTTTTGTAAATGAATCTCATTCCATACACATGGGATTATTTAAATTAATATTACTGTACTCTTGATAAGTAAGAAAATTCTTTGGACAGTAGCCATGGGAACTATGCTAAAACTGGCAAAGAAGAATCAACATCTCCTTTGAAAACTGACTTAGAAAGGGTCTTGGCTACCAGGAGCTAAATTACATTTTAGGAATGATATTTTTTTCTCAATTAATTTTCTTTTTATTAAGGTATTACTGATATACACTCTTATGAAGGCTTCACATGAAAAACAATGTGGTTACTACATTCACCCATGTTCAGGAATGATTTTTTTAATCTATAAAAGATTTCCCCAAATATCAGTCATGGTTCAAGAAGGAATGATAGACATTATGTGCCTCTAGATGGGAGCACATACCATTACCTATGAAGTATTCACATGCAAAACTTGAACCTGAATCTGATCAAGCCTACAGATCTGCCTACCAACTTAGAGAAGAAACACTAAAAACGATACAGTGCGCCCAGCAACACCCACACTGTTGGAGCTCTACGGGACAAATGACTCAGTTTCTTCCATAAAGGAGCAGCAAGGAAGAGGGGGAGATGGCGGTGCTGGAGAGGGAGATGCCTGTGGGGGGCGCCTGAGGGCTTGTGCATTTGAGAGGCAGGAGCCATCCACCAAGGGTGATCTAGAGACCTTAAACCGAAGAACATTCACAGTCAACTAGGGCAATTACAACGCTGGAATTTGATAATATTAAGAAGTCTTTGCTGATCTTTTTTTTTTTGAGAGGGCATCTCATATTTATTGATCAAATGGTTGTTAACAACAA